ACACACACACACACTTATGTACAGCCATATATATATATATATATATATATTTTATATATAATATATATATATACACACACATACATACATATATTTTAATATAGGAACATCTATTACTTACACAACGTTTACAAAGTATATTTACAAAGGAGAATATCCTTTCTATTAAGAATGTGACAATGTGAAGTTGATCATTATTCATTAACAAGAATTAGATAATTTGTATTAACATTGCATAAATTGTATCTGCTGATCGGTATGCTACATGAGTCATGTCATTTAGTTTTGTTTGAAAGAGTCAGTCTTTATACTAATAAGTAGAAAGTTCTATAACAATCCGAAAGTAATTTATCACAAGGATAAAGACACTATGAGATATATGCTTGTACAGTAACTTCCACAGGCTTACGACATACGCCGCATACCTTCATATTTTTCGCACATTCTGCACATGCCAGTAAATGTCCACAAGGCATAAATAACATACGTAATTCTCTATTGTAGCAAATTTTGCATAATCTTGCATCTTTGTCGATCGGTTTATCACTATGTGCTTGAAGAGTAACCTGTTCCTCGCTGTAAGCCTCACCCGATATAGAACTTGCTTCTGAATGATTAACGCCTTCTTCAGAGTTAATTGAATTTTGAGAACTTCCACTGGCATTGCTCTCACTATCAGCTTTCTCATATTTCTCTTCAAATTTATCAATTGATATATTTTTCTGATGAACAAATAATTTTAAATTATAACATTAATATATCCTATCTTGTTTTTTAAGTACATTAAAACGTTTATTGCAAAATTCAACAGCAAATAAATAATATTTTTAAACTTACCTCTGCCGCACTATATCTTTTTCCAGTAACATTGCTTACAAATTCTGTTCCTTTGGTTAAAATTAGATAATGACAATTTTCGAACCACTTGGCATGTTCCATCCAAGGATCATCTTCTGGCTCCCAATCTCTTAATCCACCACCACAGTGATAACATAATGTTTGATCGCTGCACCCTGTGTAATAAAAACCGGCATTTGCCAGTTCTTCTTTAGTTTGTGTCATAGATTTAGGCCACGTATCGAATGAAGCTAATCTAGCAGCATAACTGGCATATTCGGGATGCTTTGGTCTTGAAGCAAGATCTCTCAATCTATAATTTACTCTTTCCTCTATCTCTTGATCTTCATGATCTGGACCAGAGTAAGGCATATATATCGAACCATAAGGTCCACATACGTCCACTCCTTTAGATGTAGGTGCTGGAATCGTGTTAGGATCTGTACCGATCGGCACATTGCCACATGGAATATTACGAACAAATCTGCATCTTCCAGACCACCGTTGATGATCGACCATCGGGTTATCATCCGCCTGCCATTCGCATATTTCTATTTGACACTCGAAGCATTTTACTTTGTCGCTTTCGCCCGTATAATAAAATCCAGCCGCGGCAAGTTTCTCTGGCTTCATCCATAAACATGGCCAAGATTTAAAGCTTTCCAAACGGGCAGATTCTAATCGATAATCACCGCTATCAACTTCATCTGATACTTCGATAAATAAATGGGATGATATTGGTGAATTTGATGATAAACGTTTTGGAGGAAGCATATAATGTTCAATGCATTCAGTCATTTCTGTTATGTATTTATGAAGATGCTTCCGTAAATCTGTAAAAAAAAATATAATATCACTACATGTTTTTACTACAAATTTTATGTAATAATAATTCATTCAATCTTCTATAATTCAACTTTTTTCATATTAAAAAAATATATAACGTTTAAATAGCAAGAATTGAAGCATTTATAATTAGTTTCTCCTTATAATCAACATTATATTTTCTGTTTTTCTCTAATCAGTTTAAAATTGTTTACTTTTACTTTTTAATTAATTAATGTTTTATTTGGTTTTTAAGTAAAACATAAGCTTAATTTTATTTTTCTTCTTTTTATTTTATTTGAATTTTTGTTATATTTTGCTATATATATATATTGCATAATAGTCGAAGAAGAGCAGGGATGTTAATATGAGTCATCACAAAAATAAATTCAAAAAATTTGTTTTGTATAAAAAAAATATTTTGTTATAAAATTATATATTTGTTCAAAATAAACTGCTAGAAAGAACTATAATATAACCACAAATTTTTTAAACAGATAAAGATTATGTGTATACATTTACACATAACCTCTTCCTATTGTCGGTATTAAAAATCTATAATAAAGAGACGTGAATTAAAAGTTTAGCAATAGAACGACAATCGGAGAATTACAATGTAAAAATCTTGAAAATAGCCATACATTATCAGCACGCTTAGTGGATCTCATCAAAAAATGCTTTGTTATTGTTTAACTTTGTATAACTCAAAATGTGTAGCCAAATAAAGTGTTAAATTAACAAAAAATACTCAAGTGCTACATACATTCATATGATAATGCGGTCAAGTTTAAAAAGAATGAGAAAATAAGTGTAATTATAATATTGAATGCTAAAATATATCCTGGAAAAGTTTCGAAATGAAAGTAAAAATGCCTTATAAATGTCGGTCATTATATACTGACATATTAATGCCATTGCATAACAGTGAGTTACAAGATTCCATAAATAATTATTGGAATTTGATTTTTAAATACAATTTGTTGATTAATACGCATGATTTATTAGCGAGACAAAGAATAAACAGAAAAAACTTGCATTTAAAACAGGAAAAAGTTTGCATTTGTAATAAAAAGGTTTGAATTATTGTTTTCAACAATATTACTCTTCCTGCTTATATTCGCTCTTTGTTTTAAATGCTGTGTGTGTATCAAATATATTTTATATATGCAAGACGAAATAAAACAAAAGAAAGAGACAAAATAAAAATAAGAAAAAGATAGAACTGAAGAAACTTATAGTTGCTTACTTATACTCCACGTCAACGCGATCGGAGGTGATTTAGTGACCAAGTGAAGAAGCGTTGAAACATAATTCTGTGCAGCAAGAATGTGCGCATGCGTTGCCGTTGGTAGCGGCATCATTGTATTTGTATGATATAAGTATACCCACAGGCTTATATATAATACTAGGATTACATTCCAAACTGCATTCCAAAACATTTTTTCCAGAAAAAATTTTATTCGAAATATGTAATACACGTAACATACGTATATTAAGTAAAATTTTTCTTGAAAAAGACATTTTATAATGTAAGCCAAAACGTTGCTTTCGAGCAAAATTTTACTCAATAGTTGCTCCAAAACGTTATTTAAGCTTTTCCAATTGGTTTGTTATCTATCACTCAGAGATATTCCAAAATTAGAAACTAATTTTCATATTTCCTCTACCGAGTAAAATTCTCACCTGCGTTTTGTGTGAGAGAGTATACCGCACGAGTATATTGCATGATTGGTGCAGCAGATAGGCTGAGAACGAAACATGATGACGTGACATTATATAAACGAGGTTAGAGTCTAAATCGAAAATTTTATTCTATATTTTTGACTTGCTTTTTCATATAAAATCATCTCCTTCCGGCTTGTATCATCAGTTTTGGAATATTTCAGTTGTGTTTCAAAATTTACTGCTAATACTAATAATATATAATATATATATATATTATGTATAAATTTTCAGTACATTTTGAAACTTTATATAACAATGTATAATGATTAATAATAAACATTTCTAATTATTATTCGCAATAAATAGCAAGATGCATATTGAATATGTACGTAAATTTATGTGTTAAAGCATTTTTATGACTTTGCGTGTGCATATCTAAGACAAAGCCACTGTTTTGTGCCTTGATAAGAAATTCGATTTCTCCGTAAGCCACTCGACTCGCTCGGAAGGTGCACAGCTGTCAGCTGCGACACCGGGTATATACCATTGATGCAACGTTGCCGCTAACGCGGCCTCTATTTCTGTCTTTGTCTTATTACACTATATTACACGGGACCACAGCATGTATCCGTAAATTTTAACGGTAGAATCTAGCATCTCTACTGGGTCTTATTACCTTTCGAATTTTTCACTTCTGTGACAGAGAGAATCTTCTCAAATTTATTATAATATATATGCATTTAGCAAATTCCGAGAAATTGTTAAAACGAGATATTTTCTCAAAAATAATGCGTTCAATTTCGAATCGATAGATGACAAATATTCGAGAATCATTCACGAGCTAATGAATTTTCATTTTAAAAGTACCTGGTAATGTCGCAATGAAGTGTCGCAATGGAAAGATTTCTCATGACAGAAGAGCGCTTCGGAATGCCATTCGTGGAATGTTGCCACAGCATCGAGATCCCTGCATGAGTCGCGACGCATGCTGTGAACTTTACAGGGATGCTGGCGACAGCATGTTGCAAAAAGGAAACGTCTCGATAACGATGGCAACAATACCGTGAAATCATCCGTTACAGATGACTAGCAATCCAACCTTCGTTCATCGCTTACAGCAGTGTCCTCCGTATTATACTTAAGCGGTAGAAACTTTTCTTTCTTTGGGTGCTTTCCATTTAGTAACACAAGTCGACACAAGTATCATTTTATCCTTGTTAATCATTGAATGTCAAGAAAAATAGAACGATACTTGTATCGACTTGTGTCACTAAATGGAAAGCACCCTTAATTTGAAAAGAAGAAGGAAAATAATCCGCATGTCTTGAATAGAGGGAAGAGGAAACAAATCCCGCCCGAAAAATCAGATAGTGCTGCCATGTTATACAGAGCGTCACCACAAAATGCTAAAACAATTTTAATCTATAATTAATTATCTCTTGATTAAGCGAATTGATCAAAAAGAATTAAAATGGGCAGCGTTAAGAACATAAATGTATTTTAAAATTCAATTCAAAACAGAATGAGATAGAGAGAAGAATTTTTTTATTCAATATCTTCGAAATAGGATTAAAATCACGTTATTCATAAAAAATCTTTTTTTTTGCAAATTCTTATCCTCAATATGGATTAATAAAATGCTTCGAATTGAACGCGATAAAATTATTCGTTATTCAGTTTTTCAATCTTGAGATCTTGATTCGGAAATTTTCTGTACTTCCTCTAAAAATTTTTTTCATTCTATTCACATCGTATTCTTGCTAATCACGAAACTGATTAGCCATTATAGATCAATCTTCAGATTGTCCTGAGAATAAAGATCTGTGTTATAATAACAGTCTGAGTATTTTGCAACGACATCTTGGTATATCGCAAATGACGCATTGAGACGACGAATGCGCGTGGCTTATCATTCAAAGAGAATTATAAAATGACATCAGCGCAAAACTGCTTTTCCTTTGGACTCTCGCGTCAGCTTCATTATTCCTGACTGCGAGAGAATTGGCAACACAGCACGAAAGCGTACAATCGAAAGGCTTGAACGAAAGGCTCCCCGACATAGATTCAAGCTACCGCTCTGTAAATTCCATCCAATTCAAATCCAATTCTGCATTTTTTACCAGATATCAATAATATAAAGCATTGATAAGTATCCGACCTTGATAAATAAAGCGAGGTCATGTTTATTTTAATTTTTTATGTCGGGATCTAAAATAGCGTTAAGAAATCACGATTTCATCGAAATCTCTGATCTAATCACGTGCGATTAATGACATTAATATACAATAAATTTTTCCTTATCTAGCACATGGAAGTGAATAATTTTTGGATATTAAATGTTCCTTTATCAAAATTTTCTGGCAACGATTAATGATTTATCAAAAGCAGAGTATGATAATTAATTTTATCATATCTGGGAAACAGAATAAAAATCGTTGATTCGAAAACAAGGGAATATCTAAATTAATATCTCTTCTAAAAATCGAATACAAAATTTCAGATACTTTGTCTATCATATTAGTTGGGTAAACTTCTTCAATTCTGTTTAGAAAGGTAACAGAAATCTATAGCAAAGAATCTGAATTTTCTATTGTGTCTTGAATGTCTTTGACATGAAAGTTTAAAAATTTTATGAATCTTTGAAAGGTTAGGACACGTCTCAAATGGTCAAAAATTCAAATTAATGATAATAAAAACAGAAATGGAGATAAAGAAAGGGAACAATGGCATGTGTTCCAAGTTTTCTTGTCTAACTCGAATTTCATTAAATTAAATTTTTCATTTGCCAGTTATGATCCAAATAATTGCTAATACTTTGTCTCTCAACATATTTTGATTTCGTATTATTTGCAAATGATTCGTTAAGGATTAAACTTTCATAAAGACAATTTAGCATATTTAAATCATCTTTTTATATGTATACAATTATGTTTATCAATTGTGTTAAATTTCTTGATTTATTGGCCGATTTAAAGAGAACTTATAGATTTAAGACGATCAAATTACATTTAATTAAAAAGTGTTGGAGCAGAAAATAAATCCGATTTTATCTGATGTTTCAAGATTTCCGCTATTTTTTTAAAGGTCTGTTTTTGTGATTAAAAGAAAATCATTTGTCTATTCCTTTCTTATTTATGTATTTATTTACCTTCTGCTTGGTTAATCC